ACCACACAGAGCAGGGAAATGGCAGCCTGGGCCATCAGGTACAGTTCCTAAAGAGAGGATGGCAGGGAACCTCCTTCCTGACAGCCTGGCAGAAGGGCCCTGGCACCTCTGAACAGTGGGAGGTAAAAGGCCTAGGGGATTTAAGACAGTTTAGGGTGGCTGAGATGAGTATCCTGAGGTGGCACAGAGGAAATGAGGAACATCCCATTCATCTTACACAGCTGTAACCTAGTAACTTGTAAAAGATTATCCAAATTCTCTCCATATGCATGCATGGCTGTTGCTGTATGTATATACTGACTGGACTGTAACTGAGTGTTCACATGTGGAAATACAATTATTTAATTTGTGTGTATTAATTTCTACAATCTCTTGATGATGATTAAGCATATTCTGAGTTAAAAAAGATACATTGAAAGATTTACCAGCAAATAATCCAGCAACTCCATTTTCAGCAACAGTTCTCCTCAGAACTGCCCACACTGACGTACTATTCCTCTGTGGAACTCAACACAGCACAACACAACATTGAATTAAGCAAAACACACAATGTCACTGACAAATGTGTTATCATTAAGTTTAATTCATCATACATTAATTTTACCCATACTATTTATACAGGATGTTAAATTCATTCAGCATACAAATCACAATCTTCAACTCAAAACAGCATGGCATGGAAAAATAAAAACAAAACATAGTAACACTTGGAGTAGGATAAATGGAGAGAGATGATATCCTTTACTAGCCCTAACTGATGTAGTTGAAAAAGAAAAAAACAGACTAGCAGGTGAGCAGAGCAGATCCCTCTCCATTTCACATTATAGCTGCGGACCCAGCCCCACGTGGAGGTAATTCATTAGCAACCTCCCTGCTGCAGCACCAAGCAGCAGCCTGCATTGCAGACACAAACACCCTTTTAAACAGGGCACCTTTTTTGTGCTGTCTCACTCAGCACATGGATCGATCTGTAACACTTGAGTAACTCTGAAACTTTTTTCTAGATGAAAATTAAAACAGTTTCATAGAATATATTCAGCTGGAACATCCTATAGCATCTGGAGGCTGCTAAAGATATATTGCAGCCACAAAAAGACAGTAGCCATAGTCAGTGTCCAACTGAAACATCAACCAAATTAGTAAAGGATTAAGCTAACACAAATTGTAAATAATCACACTTAACTTTTAAAAAATAACTTTTAAAAGTAATTAAATATTTTTTAAAGATATTAAATAATAACTTTTAAAATAATTATTAACATAACTAATATTATATATCAGTAAATATATGAGGTACCTGTGACTCAAAGTAGTATGCAATAAAATTCTTAAATTTATTAGCGTAAGGAAAAAAATACACTAATAATTAAAAATAAAAAGCTTTTTTGACTTTTGACTTTTTGGCAAGAGTAACGTAAATGTCTTTCAACAATTACTCGAGAAAGAAATAATCTGCTTCAGCAAATGAAACCTCTGTCAAAATATGAGCTGCAAGTTTTCAAAAAAATCTTTCTGAACTAGGCCTTGAAAGTAGTTTCTAGGCACATGGATTCTTGTTTAGATACTTAATCTTTTTACTATGCTATAACCTTAAAGCCATGATCAAACATTTATTGAAGTTAATATAAGTCTCTTACTGCTCCAGGTCCTAAGTAATATAAAAACTCTTTTTTACATGCAACTTGCATGTGCTTTGCTGAACACAAAATTAAAAAAAAAAAAAACTTTCTTTTTCATGCTTTTAAGCTGTTGAGGTAGTCACAACTTCTTAGTCTATCTTACTTACATGACCTCAAAAGCCATTTATTTGAAATGACTCAAAAAGGATGTAAAAAAAAAAAAGACACAACCTGAGCACAGTGCTTTTCCTCTCCAACCTAAAATTTAGCAGACATAAAATATCATTACGAAATAAAATGCTTGTAAGAGCTGAACTGCAGGTATGTTTGTTTTCTAGAAGTACACAAGAGTGGAGGTACAAATATTTTATCACATTATTTTCACCAAATCTGAAGTATTTTCCAATAAAATACTGTCCACATTAATATTTTCACATAGAAGAGAGCTTAAGACAACTGCTTAACAATCTAATTCCTGACAATTTACTTTTTAAGGTCTCTCTCTCCCAAAGTTCAGTCTGCCTATGTGTTTTCACTACATCAAATGGTAGAGTTATGACAGCTGCAATCTATTAGGAGAAAAATATGTATTTAATGTTACAGCCATTGAATTTGAATTTAAAAATTTACAGTGTATGCAAGTTAAAATTAGATTTGATATTTCAAACACCTGATATTATTAAAACCTTGCATTTCAGAATATTGTAGATTGCTCAGGTACGTCTAGTTGGCTTGAACACCAGGACATCAGTGTTTAAAATAGATGCATCCAAAACCACACACGATTTGTGAAAGAATCATGTAAAACCGTACTAACTTCAAATAGCTTAGCATTGATATTATTGAGAGTAGTATGAGAAACAAAATACATACTTACAGAGCCAGATGCTGCTCCTGAAGTAAAAGCAACAAAGAATTTTGATTCATGTGCACCAACTTTCTTGCACATCATCTTGAAACGTTCATAATTATACCAATATATTGCTGGGGTTATTTAAAAACAAACAAACAAAAAACCCCAACTTGCATCAAGCCTCACAATTTTATGTTAATATAGAAATTCCCATAATTGCTAAAAGGCAGTGGGCACGTATTAATCTCTACCTTCTCTTCTCACCTCTCCACCTCTCTACCTCTATGATGAGCAGGGCACAGACAAGTACCAGAGGAGTTTGGAGAATGAATTAAAGTCAGTGGGGAGGTTCCGGGCTGAGGGAGGGCAGGAGCCATGGACACTGGAATCTTAAGATGTACAGAGAAAAGCACAAAGAAAAAACACACGTATCACCTTAGTGCTCCTCAGTGCTCTTTGTGCACTCCTTTGCAGTGCTCTGATCTTCTGCTGCAAAAAGCTGAGGGGAAGGAAGATCGTGAGCTCCTGCCATATTGCTACAGACTAAATCAGCAAGACAACAAGAGTTTCTTCATGAAATTGGACAACAAGAATTAGAAAGAGAATTTTAGCTTTCCCTTCATTCCCACTAAAATTCTCTTTCTAATCCTTAGTGCTTTCAAGGGAAGCAGAACAGCCTAAGAAAAAATTTGGGGCAACGCAAATTTGTGGGATAGGCAGGAGAGCACAAGTGACACCACTTGCTTCCGTGAAGTTCAAGCTTTATTTTATTAATAAAAAATGCAGTTTTTTATTATTAAAAAGTTATTTTTATTAATAAAATAAGTTAAAGCAATGTTAAGTTAAAGTTAAAGCAATGACTTCTATCTACAGCACGGAAGAAGATCCTAGCAGATAAGAACACTTTTCTTTTTGTCTTGAATTGTTCCCAAAAGACTTTATTATACCTTAGGCACTGAGTGGAGTAGCAGCTTCCCAGTGTGTAGGTGGAATACATTCCTAACCTCAAAACAGATTTTTTCAATCTGATCTGGGCTGCTTTGGGAGGCCTAAGAGAGCCTTTAGAAGTTTCTGATTATCTTCATGGTTACCAATCAGGCCAATCCCCATTTGCAAGCTTTATATCTACTCTTTCAGACACGATTCCTCCTGGATATAATTCCAGTTCTGCAGGATAAAACTAAGTGGGTGCAGAACCGCAGGATTCCCAAGCAAAGATGTTTTGGATGCAGAAGACTGTGGTAAGAGAACAGAAGAGTGAAAAGGTCCTGTGCATGGGAACCAGACTCCACTGCCATTAGTGAAATGCTCTTTGGAAAGGAACCAGGGTCTTAAGACAACTGAGTGAAATACTTCAAATACTTCAAAGATTCTCTGACTCCAAAAATGGGTCTGAAGCATTCTTCTGGGCATTAGTGTTACTGTTTCCACGTAAAGGCGAGAAAGCGCTTTGGGTTCACCAGTCCTTGGAAGATTCCCAAGTGCTCTGGGAACATGTGCCACACTGTGTCTCAGATACTATTAAAAAGCTTTTCACAGCCGCTGGCTCCCACCAGTGGCAGCAAGTGGCAACACTGTCCCTGAGCAATCTCTTCCAGTTACCTCTGTAGCTCAAGGCAGAGCAGAGGTTACATAAAAGGGCACAGTGCCATCTCCTCTGTCCCCATTATCTCCTCTCTCCTTGGGCTGCTCTGGACCAGGCTACTTTTCTTCTTCTGGACTTCCAGCTTTGGAGTTGCTGTAGCAAGTGGTGCACTAGACTCTTCTTCTTTGAGGTACTTCCATGACCTGATTGATCTTGCTAACAAAATTGCTGAACACACTACTGCGTCCCCCTTGTACTCTATGTTTTGAAGCTAAAGCATTAGAACACTTAGATACCTGTCCTCCCTCTGTAAGGAAAGAACTGCTCTGCCTTTTAGGCTGAAACATTTCCACTGGAAAAGTAGTCTGTGAAAACAGTTACTGCTAAGGATCGGAAGAAGTAAAATAAACAAAGGGAATGTAACAGTGACCCACAGCTGGTGAACACAAACAAAACTAAAATAACTTCACATTCTTAAAGACTTACAAATACTAAAAGGGGAACAGCGGGTAAATCTCAATCTTTCTTAAAGCCAACCATTAAAGTTGCATAAAAATACACCTACAAGAGTTTATGAATAAACAAATGTTCATGCCTAACACAAGCCTGCATGTGCAACAAACCCCACCTGAGAAGGGCACATCTCTGAGAACAGTAGAGCTCCCGCCTCTCCACAGCGACAGCAGCCGTCCGTGGCCACCTCGCTGCGCACGCGCAGGTAGAGCTGCTCGTAGGACAACTGGCGGGACTGCACTCGTGTCCTGAGGAGCTCCAGGGGGCTCACGAGAGTCACGGAGCCAACTGAAAACCAGACAAATGCCTGTTTCTAGCTTTGTCTTTTTTAAAAAATCAGTATTTACTAGTAACATTTCCTGAACATTTAAATGAGACACATGTCTCACCTTGCTTTATATATGTGGCTCCTTTCAAGTCTGCCACAATATTTTCTTAAAAGAATCATCAATAAAAGCTTCTTTTCCAGATAAGAATACCTTACATATTCACAGCACCTACACTTTCTGGGCACTTTACTTATTTACCTATTTCGGTATTAGCTTGATATATCCCCAGCACTGTTAAGAATCCTCATTTTCAGATATATAATAAGCTGAAAACTTCAAATATTCCTTTAAGATTAACTTTCGATAATGATTATTTTTAAGTGTAAGTTGAAGAAAATGTGCTAAGTTGTTTGACAGATAAAATCACAGGTAGAGATTAAGCTTTTATTGCTTTCTAAACATCTTGGCCAATTCTTTTTTTAAAATACTAGCAATATCCAGCAGGTATTCTGCATCTAATAAAAGAATTCTCTTGCATCTTGGTGGTAAGATCAATGAGTCACAGCATTCACTAACAAGCTCACATCATGTAATATTTAACAGATTTTAATGACTTCAGCAGACCTACAAAGTTTTCTCCTGTTGCTGGCATAAGGTTTATTTTAAATGTAAACTGAAGATCTGGAGCAGCCTAATGATTAATTAGACACATGACCAGAGAATAACAGTTCTTTTTCTAGTAGTTTTCCAAACTCTCTCATAGCAGCCATAGGTAAAACACAGACCTAGATTCCCACAGTCTTCTAAGAAAGCCCCAAGACCTGATTTCTTTTACAGAAATCAATAGGGGAAAAGATTTTTAAATGAAAAAAAAAAGGACAAATTCAGTCCCCATTGATATCATAGAGGAGCAAAGCAAGTCAATTTTCATCTTCCTCATAACTGCTTGCATAGCTTCCATTATAGAAAATTATATTTATAATTTTCCTTCACCCCAGAACAGACATTAGTAGAATTCTCTCCTTAGCAGAGCTTCTAGAACTATAAAGTTTTGGACAGATTGCAGACACTTCAAAACTGACTATGTTCTCCATGTCTGCTTTAAAATGTGCATCATTATATTCTCATATAGATGCACAGTATCTGAAAACAAATTTTGGACCAAATTCTCACAAGTGTCACCTCAAATTCATCTGTAATGAAAGTGCAACAGGAAAAATGCATCATGTCATTTCAGGTTAAAGGGTTATGTTACCCAAGAAATGTCAGGTAACTACAGCATTGCTCCCAGTGCTGTATAATATTGTCACACATTTAAAGTCACAGCAAATTTAATTTAAAAAAGGCAATAAAACAGAATAAAAGTATTTCTTTAGTTTTTCCTCTTTAAAGAGATGACAACTTACATCTACTTATGGAGCCTGCAAGAACTGGAACGTGGTCATCATCTTCTCCTAGGCCAGATTTCAGAGCTTCACTCAGTTGGTCATAGCATGTAAAATAAATTACTGTGGTAGGAAGTGCCATTATTCTACAATATAAAAGAGGGAATCTTTATACAAGGAGAACAGGATCCTAATTGAAATATATCATCTTGTATTGATATTTTGCTTAATTGAGAAAGTTACGTCTTCAATTATGTATTGGTGGATGAAGAAAATCATTTACCAAATGACTTTGATTCACTGACTTTAGTTCTCAGTTTCAAATTCACAAGCGTCCTCCTTTTTTTTTTTTTTTTTTTTTTTCATTTCATTACAAGAAAATTTAAGTAAAATGATGTCAGGGTGATCTAAGCCAAAATGTATTTAATGTCAACTTTAGAATTTCTGTAAAGCAATGGAATTAAAATAACTGAATATGAAGCAGGCGAACACAAAACTTAACTAGTATTCTTTCTCATGTTCAAAACATATTCTTACACTATGTCTTATTCAATATGATTCCCACTTTTAAAAGACTGCGGGGTGTACGAATCTAAGCTTTTTCCATTCTTCAGTATAGTATTGGCCACAATAACAACAGTTGGAGTAATGCAGCACATCTTACTACAAGACGACAATTATATTTGTTTTATGTAGGCATTCTGTGCCAGTGTAACATGCAATATTATCACCAAAAAACCTCGAAGACTCTAAGGCATGGAACACCAACAAGCCATAGTTTAGATCTTTCAAAAACTGTGCCTCTCCAGTCAAGAAGCTGGTTCTTTTCCAAAGGAGTACAGTGTTGAAACAAAATGAAACAAAACAACAACCAAACCAAGAAACAGAAACACCTCTCTATATTGGCTGAAATACAGACCTCTTACTTCATCTAGATCCTAAAGCTTTATATTTTGAAGTACCCACATGCTGCAGGATAGCAAGCTTGAGCTTTACCATGCCTTGCTTCTCTGTGTCTGTATGAGCACTGTAGGCAAATCAAAAGTGTACCAGTACTTGTCCACTTGTACCTCGAACAGGAGGGCTCCAACCCAACATTTAGTGACTTACACAATCTGGATGTTGCTTTGATAATCTACATGTTAGATCTGACCACTTTCTTGGACGGTTCCACAGAAGAGAATTTAATTATTGCGGTTTTAATTACTATTCTTACTAGCTGCTATGAATATCAAGATAAAACAGATGGGGTTGGCCTGAAGAAGAAAAGACTGAGAAGAAATATGATAACAGTGCTATATTATGTAAAAAGCTCTTGTAAAGACAAAAGGAATGATCCATTTTCCACAAGCAAATTGGATAGGATAAAACAATTCCTTGAAATTCCTTAAAATAAATGAGATTCTAGTTAGATACTATTTTTTTTTTTAAGTAGGGATAATGAGGTTCAAGACAGGAGCATCTGTGCAGATAGCTGGGTTGCTCATTGCAAAACATGAAGAACAAGCTAGGATTGCAAGTGTCTATCAACAAATGTTTAACAATCGTATCAGGCCTTATGATACAACGATGCTACCAAGTGGATGACTCTAACTTTGAAGGTTAGAACGGAAAGTCTCACGTCCCTGCTTAAAAATTGTGGACATGCCAAAGAGCTTATAAGGAGAAAACTGAAGATCTGGCTGAAATTACATTGTCTCTAGAGGTTTGTAATCAAGCCAAATACATCATTTGTAACTTGAGCATATACCGGTTTTTAAAAATCACTTCAAAATAAGCATGCACATTGGTCTTAATAGTGAAGTATCCTTCATAACCATCATCTGTAAGCAGTTAAAACAAAACCAAAAGAAAAAAAATCAACTTACAGTGTTGGGGCAAGTCCACTCCACAGTGATTTAATTCCTTCTATTTGAATGATTTTCACAAAAGCATCCTACAATTATAACCAAGGAAAGAACAGTAATCAGCTACAAAAGTTTCCTAGTCAGTAGTAATATTTCAGCACACGGAACACAAAATTAATGTATTAAAAAGTATGTTTTAAAAATATATCACTCTGAGATTTCAATGCTGTATTGCTTATACTAGCATAAGCAGTTTAATCATACAAATAATTCCACTGAGATAAACAGAAATATTCATGTGTTTGAAATCAAGAATTTTCTTCCATTTTTAGAGGACAAAGCCAATAAGTTTTCATCTGCAACTGATGGCATTGTGAATAAGCTGTTTTCAGAACCAGCACAGCACAGTAGCAATTTGTGGAAGCTTTCCCAAAGCAATTCACTAAAATATATTTTAATAACTACTACAAGCTCTAGGTACAAAACAGCAATTCACTCTCCATCACTCTAAAACCTGCTTTCAGTGACAATTTGAGTACAATATAACAACATGTGTGCAGCGTATATGGTTTGGCTGGTTTTATTTTGTGCACCTGTACGTTTGGAGTTTTATAACTATTATCATAACCGTCTCATATATTTCCCAGACCATTGGCAGCAGAGAAGCAGTGATCCTTGAAGGTCATTCAGTAACATCTTACAGAATTAGTGAGCTGGTACCTTGTGTGGAAGGCAGTGCAGCTGCTCTCTACATTGTCCTAAGAAAAGAATTGGTATTTTCATATGGGGAGAGTATCATTAGTCACCTAACTCACACTGTATAACAATATGAATACTCTCTCAAAGACAACGGTTTCTACCAGAAGTTAAAATGAAATAAATGTATAGTATGCCATTCTAATGTGTTTTCAATGCACATTTTTAAATAAATGTAAAATGTTCTTACCAATGTCCCTTTGAAATGCCCAGGTTTTTTATACCAGGCTTTGCTGTCCCCATTCTCACAAATACATATATGATCCATAAGGCCATTGGAATATACAAAACACTTTCCTAATAAGATGACATATAAGAATATGGTTAATGCTTGTAAGATTTCTTATTCAGCAGCATTTCAGGACTGCACATAATAGACATGCATTTATCTTTGGCTGGATAAACAAGGACTGAACGATCTTGGAAAGTGACTAACAAAAACTAGGTAAAAAGAAGGAGGAGACAAATACACTCCTTAAGAGTGCCAGACTAAATGCAACTGCATTCACATACCACTGTCTGCTGAAGACTGAAAAAACAACACAGAACCTTGGTATCACTTGAAAACTTTACTTTTAAGGAATTTTGTGAACATCTTCCAAACTTTTAAATCTTTTATTAAGTATTTTCAGCATCTGCATCTTTACAGCTTTACATCTTAGGCTGGACTATATTTCTAGTGGATTACCCATTCTACTTGTTTTTGATTTTCTCTACACTATATATTTTGAATATATTTTGACAAAATATATTGCTGCCACTATAAATATATGCTTTGAGCCTCATGTTATGTTTTCAGACTTCTGAAGGTTTAGAGTTTACTAAAGAACCAAGGTAGACAGCAAAGTGTTTTTCCAGGTTTATGGCAAGGGTGACTCCAAATAACCATCTCCATGTAAAACACGGAATTTCTACACTATCTTTATTCTTTCTACATCCATCTTTCCTTATAAACTTTTATATATTAATTACAACTGATTAGTGGCAATTATTGTTGTATTTTTGAGGGCACAGTATGTTCATTTTTTTTAGAACTCAAGCCATAAGTGACAGGTAAGACTTACTACTCTTTTCAGAGTTCTTTGGATTGCAGAGGAGATGGAGTGGTAGAGTATGCCAGCCATGAGTCCTCTGATATATCATTTAGCTATTTAACAATACCTTTTTAAAATTTGTTTACTCAACTGAGCATTAATTGTACATTCTCATAATTAAAATACTAGGGAAGATAGATAGAAAATTGCCTGTGTAGAATGGCACATATTTATGAGATTTCTTTCCTTTGTCTCTTCAGTAGTACCTTCTTTCTTTTTTCTTTTTTTTTTTTTTAGCAATTTGAATGTGTTTTGCTGGTTTACTTCTCCTACTCCTTCACTTGCCATGCAGAAACAAACACAACTATAGGCAAATAAACTAAATACAGCTCAGCATCAGCTATATGTAACAGGAAAGAGCAAAATGGGTCCTCAATTACCCTATACATTTATTTACCTTTGGAGAATGGATTGCTTTGGGCTTGCAATCAAATTTTGATGACATCAAGAGGAGCAACTAAAACAAAATGAAGAAGTGTAGAAATACACTGTACGCCCTTAAAACATAGAAGTATACAGATGCCTTAACATGAACTTGTACAAATGAAGTTTAGCCACTTAGCTCACATTTGTTTGTCTAAATGTAGGAATCTAAATATGGCTCTTGCAGCTCAACTTAGTTGCTTAAACTTGGGCATCTAGTAGAATTTTAGATACTTGTATACTCTGCTTGGTCTCCCACCTCTCACTTCAAAAAGGAACTGCTCTTTCATAGCTGTGTCGTATTTGCCAGACTCTGATAAGGTCTTTGATATGTAGGGCACCAAATCTGCAATAGAATCTTATGTAAGAGTAGTTGAATTCCATCTAGGGAACTGCAAAAGCTGTTCTAGCTTTTCTAGATCACTAGTGCCTCAAAAATTGCACAGTGTTAAAAGTCAGAACCAATAGTTGGCTTAATCCAGAAAAGCTCCCGAAATACGAAGTATAAGCTAATGAGCTCAAAGACCCCAAGGGATGTGAAGTGTTGAAGTGCTGTTCTTAGCTACACAGGGGGAAGCAAGTTTTGAGCTACATGACTGAATAAGAGGTAGGAGCTGAATTCCATTAAACTGCCTAGAAGTTAGAAAACTATATTCATATATATATATAGACAGACAACTTGCTAGTTCAAACTGAAGAGCAATCACCTTTCAAAGATTTACTCTATGTCTCTAAGCTTAATAGTTCGCCTTACCAAAAAAAGATGCAATTATAGCTCCAAAACAAGATGCTATTGCTTGCTGAATGGCAGTTATTTTATCTACGTTTCTATCACCCATTTCAGCCATAACTTTATCCTCTGAGAAGGAAAACCTGTTAAGGAACAAAAAAATATATTACAAAACTATTTTCAAAACTTACAGGCATGGAACATTTTTTTGATTAATATATATAAATAGTCATTTTCTAGTTGCCTTCCTAGTATTTTTTTTTTCAAATTACAGTATTTCCTTTTAAAATAATCTAAATTTTATAAATAGAATAAATCTCTTCCATTATTCTTAATGGATTATGATGTTTAGATTTTTGTAAATTTAATACGTATCACTTCTTGCTGCAACAAAGCATTTAGGAGCATGAAAATTTGCTGTACAGCAGTAAATGTGGAGTTTGTGGGCCATAAACTGCAGCATGGCAGAATAATTTATCTAGCTCTCCTCTACTTCTGTCATTCCTGTGAGAAAAGCAAGAAAAATTAAGGTTTTTTTTCCCTATGCAGATCACTGAACAGCACAGATTAGTTTATTTTCTGTAGTTTCCCTTGGAGATCGTTACTGAACTAGGGCAACAGCTTAAATCTCTGATGCTAACACTGTTTTCTGCAGCCTTTTGAGCTGTGAACTAGCCCAGACGGGCTGCATGCTGTAACCAGAACGTGAAGAAAGCACAACATTTTCCTTGAAATCGGCACTTTTCCCTCTCCCATTATGACTTTATGTTCCAAAAGGACAGAAAACACTTCAAGGTTGGGGGTAAGGCCTCAAAGGTTACCTGAGAAAGAAAAGGTTGACTGGGATAAGGTTAAAAACAAAACAATTGGGATATATATATAGATCAATAGATATACACATACGTATGTATTAGCTGAAAGACCATCATGCAAGTGGATTTGGCCTTTTATGCTATCACTGTCACCGGCACTTGGTAGGAGGATTACAACACGAAGCCCTAGAGGTTGCATAAACACAGCTGAGTCAGTAACCTCTGACCCCGTTAAGGTATGTTACTTCAAACCAAACCCTGACGAAGCGGCAATCGCCGCTCAGGCTCCGGCGGGCTCAGACAACGTTTCGCTTTCGCACACGCCCCACAGCACTTCTCGCTGGCCGCCGCTCGGAGGGCTCTTTTTACAGCCGGCGGCAGATGCCCCCC